AGCACAAAACCTGATGGTCAATATAGTGGCTATCAATGCGTTCGTGTTGATCTTCTATAGAAAGAAATTATACTTTGGGCGGTACGACTGGAAGATTCTACTCTGGACGTTCGGAACACCTTTTGTTGGTGCCACGATCGCAGGGATAGCGGGTCAACTAGGTCCGAATGGGGCATTGTAGGTACCAATAGGGTGTAAAGGTCGTTGTTCACAATGCTTTGAAATGATATGCTAGATATATTTTAGAAATATAGTTTATCTCGTATACATATGTATAGATATCATATAATATATACTGCATATATTTTGCTCTGTTTCAGTTGCTACTTCGATGGTGTTAAAGGGGAGATAACGAATTTATTTTTCACAACGGTTCCTCTATTGCTGGTTTTAGTAGTAAACACTGTCCTATACGTGCTTACCTGGTACATGATACACACGGAAGGCAAGCGTCTAAAAGATGTGATCGGGAGACAGGCATCAACAGTCAGAGCCTCCCACAAAATAGCTCGGACAATGTCGTTATTTGTGACTGCTTTTTTCGTCCAATGGTGGGCGATGGCGCTGTACGGTATATGGCAATTAGCAACAGCAGACGTTCCGCAAACTCTTTTTCATTTAGTTACTACATTTTCAAATATTGGAGGAATCTTAAATGGGATTATTTTCGTGATTATCAGACGCCGTAAAATGACTGGGTATTACGAGAAAGAGAAGATGAAAGAAACTTCTACATCTAACCGGGACTCTGGTAACGAGAGGCCGTCATGTACCGTGGACAGCAGTTCCGATGTGTAGATGTTCATTGTGTTTACACTGTTAATAATCAAATATGGAAAATATCAACTCTATCATAGTCTATCTTTCACTGCAGTAATGTTTCGTGAGGCTTATATTTGAACAAGAATACTGTATACCTTGTCGTTCGCCCATGAAATCAATTGTCGCCCAGTGCTAATTTCGCCCTTCATATTTACGCTCTATGTATATTATGCTGTTTACTGATATGCGCTGTTATGAAAAAACCCAATTCATTACGGAGGACGAAAAGGCGAAAATCAAACTGCTGGGAACATTTCCCGGTATACAGCATACTACAATTGTTATATAACGATATCATGCCTATTCATACCTTTCATCAAGTATTGTTCGCAACCAGTAGCGAAGCTTTTGTGATGCAAGGGTCATTAGGTATTTGTCTTCAACACCTGTTTGGGACAAAGGATTGTGTGGCATCTTAAAATAATGAAGAAGCTCAAAGGTGTGTTTGACTTAACGTATTAAACAGACCTGGGTGGTCGGTTGGCTCAGAAGTTAACTGATTTGCCTTTATCGAGAAATCTTAACCTTTGTGATAAATGTTGAATCATCAATTTTTTAATCTTAAAAAACCTCGCCCTGGGTTCTAATTTATCTATGTATATATTCATATGATAATTGTAAAAACAAGCAGGGTCCGGTGGTCAGACTATATGCTACTTAATTTCATTTATCGTTTTGTGTATCTATGCTGACATATTGGTTAATACATGTTCCTTGTCATGTACTTTTAATGGCCCATACTTTTGTAAAATAATACTTTTGGTATAAATAAATGTGGAACATTTTCTAATCGTTTAAAAATATGACACAATAAGTCAAAATTCAATTAATTATTCAATGAGATAAATTGGTTTGTTCAGATGCTTTGGATGTCTAGCGTTATATGTGTCATATTATTTGTATGTATATTGACGCTTTGATAGATTTTCTCCTTGTTTATTTCCTAATGCGTTGGCGCTTTTGTATAGTTTTTCATAATTTGTTGACACTTTGGCATATTTTCTACTGCTTTATTTTTTGGTGTGTTTGGTTGACGTTGTGTTGACTCTGTTGAACATTTTCTCCTGGTGTATTAAAGCTGTGGTATTTTTTCTCCAGGTGTGTTAACGCTGTTGAATATTTTCTCTTTGTGCGTTGACGCTGTGGTATATTTATCCTGGTGTATTGACGCTGTGGTATCTCTACTCCGGGTGTGTTGACGCTGTTGAATATTTTCTCCAGGTGTGTTGACGCTGTTGAATATTTTCTCCTTGTGTGTTGACGCTGTTGTATATTTTCTCCTGGTGTGTCGACGCTGTTGAATATTTTCTCCTGGTATGTTGACGCAGTGGTAAATTTTGTCCTTGGGTGTTGACGCTGTTGAATATTTTCTCCTGCTGTGTTTATAAAGTGGTATCTTTTCTGCTGGTGTGTTGAAGCTGTTGTATCTTTTCTCCTGGTGTGTTGACGCTGTTGAATATTTTCCCCTTGTGTGTTAACGCTGTTGAATATTTTCTCCTGGTTTGTTGACGCTGTGGTATATTATCCCTTGATGTGTTTACAAAGTGGTATCTTTTCTCCTGGTGTGTTGACGCTTTTGAAAATTTTCTCCTGGTGTGTTGACGCTGTGGAAAATGTTCTCTTGGTGTGTTGACGCTATTCAATTATAGCCTTTGGCTGAGGTCGATACCTGTATTTATCG